TTACTACTACCATTTCATCTGCAATCGACAGCTGCTTGTGGCCTGACTTTGTCTCGGTTGTTTGTTTAGAGTATCTAACTTTTATCATTAGTCCCTGTTCTCCTGCTTTTGTTATTCTTCTCTAGTAAATAAATAAATAAATTGTATTTTCTCAACAGTGCGATACGCGCCTGCATAGGCCTGCTCATGGTAATTTTACACAGCTATTACAAGTTAGCCAAATGCAAACTGGACTCGTGAGAGTATATGTGTATGTAGGTGTGTGTGAGATGCAGGGAGCACTTGCTCAGTTGCGAAACGGCAAGTATGCCGGGGCGGACGGGATCCCGCCTGAAGTGTTGAAACACGGCGGACCCGCGCTGGTGACTGCGCTGCACCACTTGTTGCAACGTGTATCGATTGAGGAGGAGGTGCCTCCTGAGCTGAAGGATGCCCTTGTGTTACCACTGCACAAGGGCAAAGGTAGCAAGCAATGTTGCACTTCGGAATCTGGTGAATTCATTCGCTACTGATGGATCGAGGATAGCATTTAGTGAGGCCCTAAACGATGTGTGTGCTACTCTCCACACAGATGGAGGCCTTCGAAAAAACGTGTACATACCGTTAAGATTCGAAACAATCAGCACCGGCGACGCCTACAATATGGCCATATTCAACGTCTTTATCATACCCGCCGGAAAGACGCTGCAAGTACGGTGATTGACGGAAGATGGCGCACTGCCTTTCTTAATGAGGACGAGAACATTCCAGGTTTCACGGAATATTGGAAGAATGTCCTCTCCAGACCTTTTGCTAATGATGAGCGCGCACCGCGTCGATTCCTTCCAGCTAATGATGACTTGGTGAAGCCAATTGTCCTGGAGGAGATGCAAAGTGTTCTCAAACAGATGCGGGGTTCGGCTCCCGGTGTAGACCTCATCGAGCCAGCCGGTATTTCAAGGATGGATCCCTACTTTGTAACTTCTTTTCTCAACTGTCTTCTTGCTTCCTACCCATTTCCCCTCCACATGAACACTGCTCGGATCACCTTCTTACCAAAAGTTTCCCAGCCCATCTCCCCTGACCAATTCCGTCCAATCGCAGTTTCATCTGTCTTCACACGCCTTCTTCATCGTATCCTCTTTGATCGATGGGTTCCGACTTTCCCTACCGACCGCCTTCAATTTGGTTTTCTTCGTAAAGATGGCGCTTTCGAAACCCCTTCCATACTCCATGCTGCTCTTCGCCATTCTCATTCTTCTCGTACTCCCCTTTCATTTGCGGCATTGGATATCTCGAAGACGTTCGATTCCATTTCTCATCACTCCTTACTTCGAGCAGCAGCTGCTTTCGGAGCCCCCCCTCCCGCTATTATTAGATTACTTGGCATCGTATTACAGCTCCGCGTCCTCAATCTTTAATGATGCCAAGCTTCATCCTGATAGAGGGTTCCGGCAAGGAGATCCGCTTTCCCCTTTGCTCTTCATAATGTCCCTAGATAAAGTTTTACACGGAGTCGCCACTTCGTCTTGGATATCACCGGCTGGCCCGATTGAGTACTTCGCTTACGCGGACGACGTGATCCTCTTTGCTCAAGACCGCATTTCTCTGGGAGATCACCTTCAGCGATTCCATCAACGACTGCAGTGCGTCAGCCTCAACATCAACCATCTAAAATCTTTCTCGGTAAATATAATTGATGACGCTCGCAAACGAACCATACTGGGTACGAATGCTTTGGACTGTGGTCCTACTTTTATTCCCTCCACTCAGCCCGATGAAAAGTTCAAGATGTTGGGCCTGCCTTTTAACTGGAAGGGTAAGCTCCCTCTAACAGTAATCGACGATATTATTGTGCAACTTAACGAAGTTACCAAGGCACCGCTTAAACCACAACAACGATTTGAGATTCTGAGGACCTATCTGCTCCCCAAGCATGTTCATCAGTTAGCTCTGGCAGTGGTTCACCGGAATACATTGAAGCGGTTGGATCGCATTGTCAGATCACACGTCAGAAAATGGCTGCGCTTGCCGTCAGACACCTCCATTGCGTATCTTCACATTCCCATTGCGAGCTTTGGTTTGGGTATTCCGTGTCTGTCAACGAGTATTCCCCTGCTACGGAAGGAGAGGCTGGAACGACACCTAGCCAACTGCCATCCAGTGACCAGTTGGGCGATCCGGGACCCTGCAGCCGCTGCCATCCATCGTCTAGCGCCCTCCACTGTTACCATGGGTAATCGCGTCGTCATGGATAAAAGCTCAGCTGCGGAAGCCTGGAGAGATGCTTTTTTCGCTTCAGTGGATGGCTCTCCCTTGCGAAATGTGGTCACGTCACCTTCCGCTCACCACTGGCTGAGGGACCCCACCAGGATTTTTCCACGTCTTTTCATACGGGGGGATGTTCTTTCTACCAAAACGCAACGGAGCAGAGGCAGATCTACAAATGACCCGGCTTCTCTCAACTGCCGCGGGAGCTGCGGACAAAAAGAAACTCTGTCACATGTTCTTCAGGCGTGCTGCATCACGCATGATGTCCGCTGTAAACGTCACAATGAAATTGCCCAACAGATTGCCAGGCAATTGCGGCGCTGAAGCATTAACATTGTTATGGAGCCGAGGATTCCGACAGCCACCTCCTTCATCAAGCCAGACCTGCTTGCGGTTAGAAATTCTACGGTTCACATTGTGGACGTGGCCATCTGTGACGCGTACCGAATGGATTGGACTTATAAACTGAAAGTGGATAAATACGGATCAGGGGAGAATGCCGCAGCCATATCGCGATACCTACGTGAACAGTTTCCTGAGACGACAAATATTTTTCACCACCCCGTCGTTATCAATAATCGAAGGATGATATGTTCCACCTCAGCCAAACATCTTACCGCACTCGGGATGACATCACTTGATATTTCTGACCTCTGTGTTTCTACTCTTCGTCTGACTCTGAAGGTCTACGACACCTACATTCGTGGCGCATCATCACGCCTTACATAACATGCACCCAATCCCACACGGTGACAATTGACGCGGTTCCAACCACTGTTTGAAGTTCTTTTTATTTCAATCAGTGTTTCCTATTCTGCCGAGACATTCGTCCTCTCTTGGCATATTGCTGTACAGCTCATCCCTCGAGCCATGCATGCAAATGTCAAAAATAAATGTTAATGGCATCAACTTGCTGTGTTGTGTGGGCAAGGTGATTGCCCGAATCCTGCTCAACCGCCTCGTCATTCAGATTGTGGAACCAAACGTGGCGGAAGAGCAGTGTGGATTCCGCTCGGGTCGCAGCACTATAGATATGGTGTTTGCGGCTCGTCAGTTGCAGGAGAAGTGCAGAAAACGACACCAGCCATTGTACCCGCTTTTTGTTGATTTCACCAAGGCATTTGATACGGTGAACTGCGAAGCATTGTGCCTGGTGTTTGGTTAAGGTTGGTTGCCCGCGTAAGTTTGTAAGTTTAATTGAATGTCTGCACTGTGGTGTGCGAGCAAGGGTGCAGCTGAGTGGAGAGACCTTGGATGACTGCAGTTGTTTCTGATGTGAAGCAAGGCTGTGTCTTAGCTCCTGCCCTGTTTAATATATATCTTCATGCCATGCTGTCCTGTGCTTTTGATGTCGCCTGTACTTACGGTGTTCGTGTGGAGCACCGTATTGATGGTGGGTTGCTGAACATCCGTCGTTTCGGTGCGAGAACTCGAGTCTGTGAGACAACTATCCGTATGTTACTGACGACTGTGCGTTGTTTTCACACAGCGCGGATGAGTTGCAGCATATGACTAGTGCTCTGGCTTCGACAGCGGCCCAATTCGGGCTCACCATCAATCCAAGCAAAACTGTCTGTCTCTTTCAGCCTTCAGCAGAGGTGCAATCTTCACTATTGCGACGAATCAGCATTGGTGCTGAAGTATTGGAAATCACCTCACGCTTCTGTGGTGTCGACTGACCAACAGCTACACGGTGAGCTTTGCATCCGCGTGTGGAGGGCAGCGGCGGCATCCAGGAAGCTTGAGTGTCGAGTGTGGAATAATCATCAGCTTAGCATTTGCACGAAGCTGATTGTGTACAAATCCACATACAGCGAATTCACGCGCTTCACTTTTATTCGATTCCATCACTCTTACCCATCTTAAACTCACTTCTTCCGACAAGGTATTTCGTCGATGGGAAAAACTGACTCATCTGTTTTCGTATGATATCCAATTGGTACTGATAACGACTCCAGCCTCTTATGACCTCACTCCACCCGTCCACATGGGTAGTTATTTTAGGGTTACTCGCTGATTTGTTTATCACCACGCTATTGCCACCTTATTCAAGTTAGCATTGTTGTGTCTGCTTCATTGCAACGCGTTGTTTACCCTTCTGTCCAATAACTTTTATGGTCTATCTTTTCTCACGCTTCCAGTTTTCTTTGTATGCATTTTTTACACTGCCTTATTTTACTTCCTTTCCACTCTTTGATTTTGTGGTGTGATGCACTTCGACTTCCCCATTTTAACAGAATACCTGTAATCCACTGAGCTGTTGTCATTAACCCTCTTCGTTTATTTATCTTCATCCATTGCTTCTAACTCTGAAGTGTTAGACGTTCCTCATCTGTTGACTAATCATCAAAACATACAGGTCTGATGTGCTAGACCATTGACGACGCTGGGCTTTGGAAAGTTACTTTGTATACCTCTATGCTCCCAAATGAACGTAGCCTCCAGTGTTATACTCCTCATCTAAACTATGCGCAATCGAATGTACAGTTGATATCCTGCTTTTGTTTCTGCGTATCCGCTCCTCCGTCGTCTTTCGCATCCACTTGGTTACTAAACTTGCGCGGTCTCCTCACAATAGGTCTTATACAGCTGCTCCTCTTGTCGTTCTTTACACGTTCCAGGCGGCAGGGGTTCACTTGTTACTTTGTTTTGTGACCGTGTGGCACAATTTGATTCATTCAGCGTCCTCTCCCTCTCGTGTGAAAACCTTACTCTTCACATCCAATTTTGTGTTTTAGCTAAGCTTTACTATGATCGCTCCTGTTCCCACTTCTCTGTGGGCCTTTATTTTATTTCTTGTTGCTTTCGCGTCAGACGAACCTCGGGTCGTTGTCATGCGTGATCTCTTCGGAGCCGATGGCGATGATCGAAGCGCAAGTTCAGTCAACCCGGTTCCCTCGGCAAAGCGGAGTGGCATGCAGCTCGGTGCACGCGGCGGTGCTGGTGCAGTGGATCAATTTGTCGATCGTCTGAAAGCCGAAGGCGAAGCTGTGAGTGACGACTTGACCGCCTTATTGGACAAGCCTGCGAGCACACTTGCGGGTAAATCCACTGGCGTTAGGTCTCGACCTGATCACAAACCGGAGAAAAAAGAGGAGTAAGTTCGCTGATCCCACTGTTCTGTTTTAACTCCCCCTTGTAATCGTGTTAATCGCGCTTGCTCGACCACTGAGATATCGGGAGCCACTAGTTTGGGCTCGTTTGCTTGCCATCATTGTGTTCTCCTGTAGACCACAGTTCTTTTCACTGTGCCTACTGAAACTGTCGCGCCCCACGAATGGTCAAGTGGTTCCTGCACACTTCGGGCGATATGTTTTCCCACCGTCAAAACCTCTTGCTTGGCATCCTTTGGTTCTCCATACTTCGACCAAGTGCGATTATAGGTAGTTGGTGACATCCGCTTCCAGATTTGCCTGTTACTGCAACCACCATGGGACAACCACAGGACGCTTGTGCCTACAGATGAACCATTGGTGGCTTACGCTGCATCATCATCATCATCCACGGCAGTACATCAGCCATTTGAACTGATGCTTCCCTGCCATACAACCATGATGACCTATGGCAAATAGGACAATGAGAGAGAGAAGGGTGCCTAACCGGAAAACCTTAATGCCCTAACAAAACATTCAGGGTCAAGGTGCCTACATTTTTGTAGACAACATACCGTCACAAACAGCTGGCTATCTTGCGAAGATAACCAGACATCGGCGAGACAGTTTCCTTTCGGCTTTCACTGCCCCGCGGCATAATCAGTCATTACCCCGCAGATAACTCAGCACCAAACACACTTTACACAGGCAATCCGATTAGGAGACGGCAGCAGACGCGCCACTGTTGTCTACTGCGAGCCGTGTCCTGTAAAGTCTCGAGCCAAGCACAAGGCGAGTCATGCGGACCTCAGCCCTGAAGGCGAGACGGACCAACGGCACCCAGTTTGGTCGTCAGCAACTTCATTTCCCGTTGCCAAGTCAACTTCTGTCCACGTCGAGCCTTGCACCAACCTACACCTGGTAGACTAAACAAGGTCCTCCTAGGTAAGCGGTGACCAAACATACCTAGCCCGCACCAACGCAACTTATTCAGTGCTATCTGTTGTACTAGGGAGGTAGCATGGTTATCACCACCTACTACTCGTTTATGCACATCATCGTTGCGGTCACGCTGGTGCCCTCCGACACCAGCAGTGCTTCGCAGACAACGATGATCAAAGACTTGAAGGCGCCTCAGATCTTCAGACCGAAGGGGCCAAGTTTCACTACCATAGAGCAGAACGGCCCTCACTGTGGTCTTGTATACCCGGCCTTTCAGACGAAGGGAAATTCCCTTCTGTCATCAAAGATGTCGCAGGTTCAAGAAGGCAGCTCTGGCCTTTGCAATGCGTGAGCTCACGTCAGTTTCTATGCGCCCATCATTGCTGATGCAGCTGCCAAGATAAGTGAATTGATCAACCACCTCAAGTTCCTCGTTCGCCAGGGTCACTCTCTTCCTTTCAGATACGTTTGTATCGGGAGGTCAGTGCTTTGCAGAGGATCTCACCTTCATTCTTAAGTAGTGCAGGTGGGAGGGAATCTGGGCCAGCGGTATGAAATCGTTTGATGGCTGTGATGACCTTTCGGACCTCGGCCTCTGACGGATGCTCTAAACTAACCGTCCATGGCTCGTCCTGCATCAACTGAGTAGGAAGAGATCAGGGAGCAGGAGGCCAACTGGACTGATTTTGAAAGTGTTCCGCCCAACGAGCCATATGCCGCTCCTTATTGTGTATCAGTGCACCCGCGCTGTCTCTGATTGTCTCACTGATGCCAGGTTTCCTGGTCGCGCGGCAGCGAAGCGCCGTTACGGCGCACAGCTGACACATTATTATTAATATTGTTATTATTATTATTATTATTATCAGTGATGCGGATCAGCTGGAAGAGCCTGCGGTAATTGCCTACTACTCCTGCCTCCTCCATTTCTTGAGCCCTACTAGTCCACCAGACTTCCTTGTCAGTACGTGAGCTCTGCTTCAGTTCGCACCTAATAGCCCGCCTGGTCACGTTGTGCTCAGAGCCAGCCGGAGGTTTCTTCTGGATTCCAGCAGGTTCACAGACCTCTCGGATATCCAGTGACTGGTGCGGTGACGATGGATAGTGCCACAAGCAGATGCTCCTGCGTCGTGTATGGCGACCGAGATCCTATTCCACTGAATCTCAGTGTCATTAGAACAAGACAGTTCGGTATGCAGTGCATCTTGATAGGCTTACCTATTTGAGGGCTGAGATAATTTCTCAGTTGCCAATCGGAGGGGACGCTTGATGCGCCACCCGGTAAAGTTCATGGAGAGACGACAGCGTGCCAAGGCATGATCAGAGTCGACGTAGGTATTCCAGTACGAGCGGCAATCCAGAATGGAACCACGCCACCTGTGGTCAATTCGGGTCCATCGCTGGCCAGCTACAAGAGGACGCCACTTCGGCGCCCAGTGTGTCTAAAAGCAGTGCGAGTAAGAAACAACTGGTGCTCCGCACACAATTGCAACAGACGCTCGCCGTTGTCAGTCCGTTCGGAGTTTAGCCCATAATTACTACCCAGCTGTGCTTCTGAAGAGCTCAGACACCCTACTTGTGCCTTCATATCTCCTACAAGTACTATAATATCTGAAATAGTAGCACTGCGTAGTAGCTCGTTCAGTTCGTGATACAATGTCCTTGACAGCATTTGAACTGCAATCGGTGGGAGCATAAACGGAAGTCACAAACAAACAACGTTTTGCACTACTTCGTGAATCAACTTTAGCTGATGTCGTCAAACGGGCTGCACATAAACCGCAGTTCACCGAAATCCAACCAACCAATGATGGCTCAGCCTTGGAGCTTAGAATGATACCTACACCAGCTTGACTCGTGAGTGCTGTATCGGCGTCTCGGGATGTGTGCAACCAATAACGAGAGGATAAGCCGGGTGCAGTTAATTCAACAACCCCATTAGGGTCATTGATCCTAGTTTCGGACACACAACACACATCAATACCCAGTGTGTCTGAGGTGCGTGCGAGTGCAGCTAGTTGACCTACTTGTCTTGGAGTGCGAACGTTGAACGTCGCCATGGAAGCGGGACAGCGTGGCCTTATAAGGGCTGTTGCCGATAGGTGTTGTGGAAAGGTGGCTGCAGATGGTTCTACTCCAGTGCTACTTCGGTTGCCATCTATTAAGCTGGGAATTATAGACGGAAGGTTAGTAATGGGGGTCGGGATGGGAGTAAGAGAAACAGGTGGAAAAGAAAGGAGGCGCCGGCTGCAGCGTATTTTCGCTTATCCGCTATGCTGTATGCAGCAAAAAAGGCAACCCTTGATAATCTGCGCGACGGCTGATGCAGGATGAAGTTTATGTTAGAAGAAAACGTCATGGTTGTATGGGAGCTGAGATACTGCCCAGAACTAGGCAGGAGGACGATTAGGGTCCTCATCCAAAGCCTTTGGCTCAAAAGCCTGTCCGCAAGGCAGCGGGGAGGTGGCAGTGATTTAGTTTTACAGAAATGGATGCCATCCCATTTCAAACCCCCAACCTGGAGGACCAGGAGACTAAATTTGTCTGACCTCTCACCATTGACCAACCTGGTAGGAGTAGTTCTCAAGGGGCCCGGAGGCACCACCCAGTATGGTTCAGTGGGTCAATGAGGTACGCAAACCGTCGCGCCACGTTAAGGTCCAGTCTCGTTGCGACGGTTACGCTTCATCACCCACAGCTCCATCCACACACCTCATATCCTATGTAAATCCGAAGAAATAACATCGCGAGGCATGTGAATGGGAGCTACTTTTCATCAACGTATCCAACCCACATTCCGTTAACATGTACAGAAGCAGCATTGCTGTCTACCTATGTGGGGACTCATGCGTACCAGGCGTACTTGAGGCGGTGGCTGTACCGTAGTCCGTTCCACAGTGAATGGAAACACTCTTCGATCCTATCACGGTCACTGGGGCCATGTACCACCCACCCCCCACCAACAACGATTCAGTCTCCTGGAGCCGGTAATCGAGGTTGCGGGTGTTAGCTAGGTAGGCACCTTTTCAAGTGCGGCCACACCTGAGATGTCAAACTATAGTCAATCCTTTGAAATGATACTATTAAATAATAGTTATCAAATAAAGCATACGGATATCCCGACTTAACTTTTCGCTGATGAAATAAATTAGTTACCACTTAACCCGCGATAAGTTCAAGATGTCAGAAAAACATATCTTTAAAAAATGCTACAAACGCGAACAAGTTAACGCATTTAACCGCAATCCGCTTAAGCTACATGTGTAAGCAAAAAGAAGCTTATTCAGACATACATAAGCATTAACAAAATATAGCCAACCGATCACTTGAAACAAAGACACTCAGCACGCAAGCACGCCGTTAGTAAATCGAATGCAGCGTACCTACCATATATATATAGTGGAATATTTAGCCGTTGGCTGCTGCACTGTTTCACACAATTGATCCCCCAAACTTAGTCACGATCCACCACCACCGGTTCGAACTCGTTGGCGCGCTCCCTCCCATACCCCTGGGTTTCATGATTTTGACTAGGATAGCGATGGGATGTCCGCCTTTCATGCACTCACCACTGAAACTCAGGTTCATCGGTAAGCAGGAGAATGCCTTCTCGCTTCTATCCTTGTTGTTTGTTTCATGTGTTATATGTTGGTTTACTTTGCTTCTGTGGTATGCCACCTAAGTTGCAATTGGCTACCTCAAATCAGCTCGTTTCTAAATCTCGCGCAAGAAAATACCCGCAGATCACGAGCTAAATCTCTTCGTATCCCTGAAAAGTTTTAATTGTGTATATACATCGAAACAGCAAATTTCCAAGCTTTTACTTCACTTCCGGTCCCGAAATGTCCATTTCCTTCGCGATAGACGACCGCCTGCCACCCAACGCCCTTCAACTTCCCTGTCTCTTTTTGAGTATTAGCCAGCCCAAGCTTCTCTGCTGTGGTGCTGTTCTTCATGGTCCTATAGATGCCATAATGTCTTGCTACAAAGTTGATCAGAAACATTTCAATCCTGATCATTTGATCGAATCGTCAACTTCATTATCCTGGTCTATTTTTCAGCTTTCTTGTAGCCTGAGCTAGCAACACAAATGTGGCCTTTCATTTGTATATGCTTCTGAGTCACTTTTGGCTCTTCTACGTGTTCCTTTGAGAGAAATTCACTACGCTGTATTTTTGGATCTGTTTTATGTAATTTCAGCCAGTGTTGCTACACTAAGTCTCCACGGCTGATTTGCCTCATCTAAAACGGGGAACTTGCTGTAGTTTCCAAAGTGTTCCACTTCATCAACCTTACTGAAGCATATTTTTGCCGTCCACGACATCGTTAGCAAACTGACCTCCGGCGATGGAGCCACTTAGTCAGGTTGCGCATCTACCGGAAATACTCACATTTTTCCTTTATCTGAATCACTCCTTTTAAACGTAGGTTTGCTCTTCGTGGTGCGCAATTTCTCCTGTTTTCAACCACCGATTGTTGATCAGCGCGGCGACTCACTCACTAAAGTTATTGCGATGCTTGTTTAACCTTCACATAGCCTGCATCTCCGAATCGAAGAGAAACTCACCATTCAAGTGGGACGCGACGGGGGCCTGGAGCATTTGGAACTTCAAGGTATTATGCATGCGTTGGCACTTTCGTCATCTACAATCGAGGCGCGTGTCCGAGTGGACACTCTAGAGGCGCTGAGTCCTCGTAACGAGCATCAACCGGCTGCTCAGTTGCAGACGCATCCTAACATGGACAAAAAAGTGTTTGTGGTATGTTTTTCTTCACACCAGCCTGTACCCCATTGCTTCATGCTGTCCGAATCCTCGCTCTCTGTACCGTGTTCTTAGGGTGTTTCACTCCATTAAAGCTAACTTTGGTTTTCACCACCTGTCGTGATCAGGTCATTAGCTTTCGTAATATGTCTACTACTTCCGTCCCACAGGTGCTTTGATGAGGTAAAATAATGGCGTCCGATTTCCATTTGCCGGTTCGCAGCATTGACATTACGTGATGAGAATGCCGCTATTATGTAGCACTGCCTTGGATGATGCATTCGAATGAGGAAGCGGTTGCTCAGTTCGCATACTAGCACTACCAACGATTCAATAACTACGTTCTGTTAACGAGCGCATCATTGTTGTATTATCGCTGCGTCTGTTATGCTATCAACCTCTAGGGGACCTCTTCATCTACACATTCTTCTTGTTTATTCACTCAGCATGGGATGTCGCTGAATTTACGGCAAGCTGTCGCCACCCTTCAATATTTACGGCAGGCTGTCGCCACCCTTCAATATCTCCAGCGGTGTGAGATAAGGATGCCCGCTGTCACCTTTCCTCTTCAACTTCGCTATTGACGAAGCCATGGAGTTTGCATTTACAGGACATGACTTGGAAGGTGTGGAGCTACTCCCAGAAGAACGACTTCTTGACTTGGAGTATGCAGACGACATTGCCCTCATCTGTGACAGCTCCCAGATGTGCCAAGCCGCGCTGGACAGATTAGCATTGACTGTCAGTCACTTCGGGCTTTGCTTTGCACCATTGAAGTGCAAAGCGTTCCTCCAAGATTGGCAGGGATCGCCCCCTGTGCTGACCCTTGGTGGGAATCAGCTAGAAGTCGTTCAGAAATTCAATTACCTAGGAAGTCGTATCAGCGCCCTTGAGATCGAAGACGAGATCACGAACCGTATAGCGAAAGCTCGAAGTGCTTTTGCTAACCTTCGCCACCTATGGCGGCGGCGCGACATTACTCTCGCCCTGAAGAGTGGAGTGTACAATGCAGCGGTACGTTCGACCTTACTGTACGGTTGCGGAACCTGGCCCCTAAGATCGGCGGACATGAAGAGGCTAGTTACGTTTGACCATCGGTGCCTTCGCAGTTTGGCTCACATATGGTGGGAACACCGCGTGAGTAACGAGCGTGTTCGACGCCTTGTTTACGGCCCAGGAAAAGGGAATGAACCTCTGAGCACCGTTATTTCCCGCACCAGGCTCCGATGGCTGGGCCACGTGTTGCGCATGCCAGCCCACCAACTCCCTCGACGTGCGTTGTTTGCTCACCGGGGATGTGGGTGGAAGAAGAGGAGAGGTGTCCAAGCGATGGCTTGGTCCAGGGGAATGAAGTCCATCACTTCGGAGCTAGCCTCGGTTGGAGCGTCATGGCCCCCTGGTTGAGGTCCAAAAGACGGTGAACACGTTTGGCTAGATACACTTGCTGACATAGCAAGGAGCCGATCTCAGTGGCGTTCCTGCTGTGAGTTTCTTTGTCCGTCCCCATCCCTTTTAGCCTCCCCCTCCAAGTGCAAGTTTATAGAAGAGAGTACAGGTAGACATTTATATGAGAAAGAAAAGCATTAGGACAAAATTGCAAACCCACCGCCTGAAATGAAGAGACAGCATGCAAGCGCGCGGTTAATAAATCGAATGCAGCGTGCCTGCAAACGCTGCGCCGGTTCTGCCTACGTTCTCTGTAGGACCCGTTGTCGCTTCGGTAGTGGTCACGAGTGTCCTCGCTCATGGCTCACTAGGCCTGCCTGACTCAGGTACTCGCGACCGCATGTGCTACAGCACCATACGCTCGATGTCGATGAAGTACAACTCATCGGCGCCGGTCGCTTCCGCAATTGCCGCTTCTTCTCTGCATGTATGAGGTCTTTCTCCCGCACTTCGGCAACTGCCTCCGTGATCAGGTCGCACCATGCACGCCGATCAACAGCCTTTGATTCCCATGACCTGCAATCAAGATTTGAACGTGAAAGACTCACTTTGATCATGTCTTGGTAACTTAACTTTGGTTTCCCCACATGCTTTTTCCCAATACTCAGCTGACCATATAATAGTTGTTTCAGTATCCGCGTCGAATTCATACGCCTCACATGACCGAGCCACCTAAAAGGTCTCAGCAAAAGTATGCAATCCACTGCATACATTCCACTTCGACGCAACCTTTCCGTGTCCGCAACTCTGTCGCCCCATCCCATGCGCAGAATCCGTCGCAAACGCTGTTGATTGAACCGCTCGAGATATTGCACATTCCGCCGGTACATCGTCCACGTTTCACTGCCTTATAGAAGAACGGACAGCACCATGGATTTGTACACCAACAGCTGTCGGCCGGTGGCCGAGTGGTCTGCATGTTTGCTTTGCAACCCTAAGGTCACCGGTTCGAATCCGCGTAGGCGTGGGCGTCCTCGCGGTATACTCAGCCCGCGCGCTACTGGTGGTGGTTGCGCGGCAGCGAAGCGCCGTTACGGCGTACAGCTGACACATTAGAAGGGATTTTCGTGTCTGCTGGAAGGGATTTTCGTGTCTGACGAATCCACTGGTGGCTCGCGAAAGTTGGGCGGATGCAGCGGATAACGGCCACGCGCTGGACGTGCTTTTCGTCGACTTTTCGAAGGCATTTGACAAGGTACCCCATTTGAGTCTCGCGCAAAATGCTGTCCTCCTACGGGGTATCTGGCCGCGCCCTTCTTTGGGTGACTGCCTTCTTGCAGAGTAGAGAACAGTGTGTACGGGTAGGCCGGGGCCTATCGTTTAGGCAGTCTGTCCTCAGTGGCGTGCCGCAGGGCTCGGTCCTTGGACCGCTGCTGTTCTCTATCTATGTGAATGACCTACCCGCGGAGCTTGAGGTACCATCGCTGCTATTTGCTGATGACCTGAAGCTGCGGAACATCGTCGATCTTCCTGGGGGTTCCGAAGCTATTCAGCTACGAGCCTGCGTCTTAACATGGTGCGACAGTTTGCGTACCTCATTGACCCATTGAGCTATATTGGATGATGCCTCCGAGCATCTTGAGAGCTACTCCTACCAGGTTGGTCAATGGTGAGAGGTCAGACAAACTCAGTCTCCTGATCCTCCAAGTTGGGGGTTTGAAATGAGATGGCGTCCATTTCTGTAAAACTAAATCACTGCCACCACCCCGCTGCCTTGCGGACAGGCTTTTGAGCCAAAGGCTTTGGATGAGGACCCTAATCGTCCTTCTGTCTAAGTCTGGGCGCCTTGGCAGTATCTCAGCCCACATACAACCATGACATTTTCTTCAAACATAAACTTCATCCTGCATCGGCCGTCGCGCAGATTATCAAGGGCCGCCTTATCTGCTGCATACAGCAGGGCGGATAAGCGAAAACATGCTACCGCTGGCGCCTCCCTTCTTTCTTTTCCACCTTTTTCTCTTACTTCCATCCCGGCCCCTATTACTAACTTTCTATAATTCCCAGCTTAATTGACAGCAACAGAAGTGCTACTGGAGTAGAACCATCTGCAGTCTCCATCCCACAGCACCTATCGGCAAAGTCCCTTATAAGGCCACGCTGCCCCGTTTCCATGGCGACATTCAACGTCCGCACTCTAAGAAAATTGGTCAACTAGCTGCACTCGCACGCACCTCAGACACACTGGGTATTGATGTGTTGTGTGTCCGAAACTACGATTAATGACCCTAACGGAGTTATTGAATTGACTGCACCCGGCTTATCCTCTCGTTATTGGTTGCACGCATCCGGAAACGCCGATGCGGCACTCACGGGTCAAGCTGGTGTAGGTATAATTCTCAGCTGCAAGGCTGAGTCATCGTTGGTTGGTTGGTTGGATTCCAGTGAACTGCGGTTTATGTGCAGCCCGTTTGACGACATCAGCTAAAGTAAATTCGCGAAGTAAAACAAAACGCTGTTTGTTTGTGATTTCTGCTTATGCTCCCACCGACTGCAGTTCTAATGCAGTCAAGGACACTTTCTATCACGAACTGAACACGCTGCTACGCAGTACTACTATTTCAGTTATTATAGTACTTGCAGGGGATGTGAACGCACAAGTAGGGCGTCTGAGCTCTTCAGAAGCTCAGCTGCGTGGTAAATATGGACTTAATGCCAAACGGACTGACAATGGCCAGCGTTTGCTTCAACTGTGTGCGGAGCACCAGTTGTTCCTTACTAGCACTGCTTTTAGACACAGTGGGCGCCGAAGTGCCACTTGACGTCCACCTGTAGCTGGCCAGCGATGGACCCAAATTGACCACATAGCCATAAGTTACAGGTGGCGCGGTTCCATTCTGGATTGCCGCTCGTACTGGAGTACTTGTGTCGACTCTGATCATGCCTTGGTGCGCTGTCGTTTCTCCATGAACTTTACCGGAAGGCGCACAAAGCGTCCTCTCCGATTGGCAACTGAGAAATCGTCCCAGCCCTCTGTCAGGCAAGCCTATCAAGAAGCACTGCATAGCGAACTCTCGATGTCTTGTCCTAATGACACTGAATTTCAGTGGAATAGAATCTCGGCCGCCATGCACGACGCAGGAGCATCTGTTTGTGGCACTATCAGTCGTCACCGCACCAGTCACTGGATATTGGAGAGGTCGGGTGAACCTGTTGAAGCTAGAAGACACCTCCCGGCTGGTTCTGAACACAATGTGACCAGACGGGCTATTAGGCGTGAACTAAAGCGGAGCCTACGTGCTGACAAGGGAAGACCCTGGTGGACCAGTCGGGCTCAAGAAATGGAGGAGGCAGGAGCAGTAGGCAATTGCCGCAAGCTCTTCCAGCTAATCCGCACCACTGGTCCCAGAAAACCAGGCGTCAGTGAGACAATCAGGGACTGCGTGGGTGCGCTGGTGCACAATAAAAAGCGCCGTAATGGCTCGTTGGGCGGAACACTTTTAAGATCAGTTCAGCTGGCCCCCTGCTCCCGGACCTCTTCCTACTCAGGTGATGCAGGACGTGCCATGGACGGTTAGTTTAGAGCCTCCGTCGGAGGTCGAGGTCCGAAA